AATCGTGTTTTGAACAAAGATTTAACGTGTAAATTTCAAGAATACATCAACGGGTTTTCAAAAGCAAACAGAAAAGGAGTGATGACTTGTGCTAGAATGAAGGAATTCAACAAGACATTTAACACTTCGTTTCAAATTTATAATCCCAAAAACAGACATTTACATCCCAGAGGCGTACATGATGAATTAGATTGGGTTTTTTACTTACACAACTCGCATTTCTGTCTGATAAGAAGAAGCCAAAAAGGTTTGGAAATTCAAGAAATAGAAAACAATTGCGAACAGGTGTGGAAAACATGTAGAGACGACAATGCCGTAACGCAAATTTCTCAGTTGAAACTAAACGTGTTTTCTTCCATCAGTGATGATGCTTTATACGCCTGGGATTGCGAAACGTATTCAGAAAAAGACACGCGAAGAGCAATTCCGTATTGTTGCACTTTGGTCAATTTGGAAAAACTAAGAAATATGTTGGACAAAATAAAACGTAATTTTGCAGACATTTCTCCAACAGATGATATTCCAAAATAACTTTACGACCAACGTTGTTGAAACATTTGTGGGTCTAGACTGCATAGATCAAATGTTGAAATATTTAGGAGAAGTAAACCAAACGAGACTGACTTTAATTTCTCACGACAACAGTGGATTCGACAACTGGACTCGTAAAAGTAGTTGTCAAAGTGTCCACTGATAACGCAGAGGGGTATTTGTCTTTACCTATATCTAATCCTTTCACCGATAAATATTTACAGAAAAAATGGAAAAGACATAAAAAAAACAACGAGGGATAAAAACTATTTGAAAAATATCAGTTTCAAGTGTTCCTACCAACATGAAAAATCTAGTTTGGCTGCATGGGGAAATTCTTTCCGCGAATTTGAGAAAAATTGCCGACGTAGCTATCGCTAAATACACGCAAGACAATTGGGAGGAATTAAGACACGAATGAGAACCTTACGCCAAGAGAGACACTCTCTGTTTTGGAGCTTGCATCGTGAAATACAACCGAGCCATGAAGGACGTCGTGTTTCAAAACATGAGCAACAATCTAACGGCTCCTTCCTTGTCTTTGAAGGGTTGGTATTATTTATATCATTATGATAAAGAAATGGTATGAAACTACTATAATGGTTCCGAAACACGACGAAAAACCATAAGTGGAAAAATTTTACTCGCACACCAATCCTTTCGTGAAAAATTTTATCAGAAAGTCCATCAAAGGCGGAAGAGTTTCCGCCAACAGAAAATCTTTCGTTTCCGACAAGATGGACGAAATTTGCGAATTGTTAAAGGAATATACTGGACTCGAAAGCGCCAATATTGTATACTTGATTAAAGCCCACAATCAATGCGAAAAAAAACAAAACGGAACTGTCTTCGAAACTTAAAAAATTAAACTGTTCCGTACTGACGCCAACGGTCTGTACGCTTAGCGAATATCCTAAAGCGGAAAGCGCGAGAGCCTTTCAACCGGAAGAAGAAAAGAAATCAAAACGACCCAAAACGGCCATTTTCAAAGTCTCGTTTGAATATCCCAAACTCATATTCTTCCAACCCGTGCCAACTAAAGATAAAATCACTTTTACCAACAAAGAAGGTAAAAAGGAAACTGGTACTAAAACTTCGGTCGATATTCAAGAAATAGTCAAAGCCGGCGGAAGAATCATCAGGATATTGGGCGGTATCGTCTACGAGAAAAATTTCGACAGACCACCTTACGGCGAATACGTTTTGAAACTGAGAGATTTGAGAAATCAATACAAAGAGGAATGTAATATCGTGGCAGCAACTGCATGAAACTTTTGGGCAATCTCTACGGTACATCGATTCAGAAAGACATTCTGACCACCAGACATTTGTGGAACGAAGCGACATTGAAAGCCAACTTTGATTCGCACATTAAAAACTACGAACAGGTCAACGAGACCCAATACATGGTGGAAATTGAAAACGAAGAAAAAGAAATCGAAATAAACAAAAAGACCACTCGATTGACTCCCAGTCACTTGGGTGCGTTCATCTTGTCTCATAGCAAGAAAATAATGAACAATTTCATTCACGTGATTCATGGATTTTATAAACCCGAAATATACTCTATCGACACCGATAGTTTGTACATTTCATCCAACAATTGGAAACAGCTGGTTTGGTCTCCGAAAAAGACTATTGCAAAGGTAAAAACGATTACGGTGATGGTGGAATTATATTTGGTTTATATTTAGCACCAAAAGTTAAATACAATATCATTTTAACTTCTGATGGTGTTTTAAAAGAAAAGAAAACATTCAAAGGTTATTCTAATGATAAGATAGGCGTAGAAGATTACATTCAGTTAGCAAGCGGACATGATGTGTAGAAACCATGGGAAAAGATTTTCACAAATGGAGTAGTTGTAGCAAAGGATGTTTTTAGAAGTTATTTAAATAATGTTTAAAGAAAACCACCAAAAAGTGAAGGAATTGTGTATCCTTACAACGACAAAGATGAGTATACTTTGGATGAAAAGTATGAATTTGATGATTTCGATTATCTTACTATTCAAGAAGAGAATGAAGATCTATTTGATTTGTTTTAAATGAAGTTGAATGACAATTTCTTCGTTGCAAAAGTCTATGAACCTGTTTTTACCGTCTTTGCTTTCCAGATTTATATCTTTGATCATGAAAGAATGACTGGTAAATAGGTCGTTTGAAACGGTTTCTCTATAATTCTGTATCCGATCGGCACCGTAAAAGACGGTATGCTGTATATGATTTGGCGTTTGTGCTTGTTGAAAAATCCACCGTTGATCAAAATACAGTGAATGTTACCGTTCTCGATGTTGGCCTTGTGTGGCTCCAATGTCGATTGCGCGTATATTCGTTTATCGAACCCTAGTAACGCATTCAACGCATTTTCTACGTTGAAATCGACTTGACTGTTATTTCTCCAGATCAGTGTTATTTTGTTCAGATTCAAATTACCTTCGAATTCGATATTGTTTTTACCGCTCACGCTTCCTGCGTATTCGGATAGGTTATCGTTGATGGCTACGTATTCGTAGCTTTCCGGTAGTAAGCTTATGATTTTGAACGTAACTCCGTTATCCGTCGATATTTTTAGTTGATTGTTGTTTTCGTTGATATTTCTAATGGAATCGTAAACGGAGAAATACTTTTTACCCCAGTTCGTACTGTTTATTGCGATCGAGTTCATACTCGTATTCTAGAGACAATTTGAAGTCTGATTTATTTGAGGTTATAACGAACAATTGTTCTTTATTGGACATTTTAATGACGTTAATATAGTCTTTTTTAGTGATGATTTTTTTTCTCCAAAAGTCGTTTTATTATGCCATTGACTTCATTGTATTGTCTGTCCGATCGATGACCTTCTTTCATGGCTGCTAATATTACTCGTAATCTATTAACTAGTTCCTCATTGTTATCTGGTAAAAAAGTTATACCTTGTCCAGATGCCACCATATAATCGAATTCGTCTATGTCTTGTATGATTGGAAAATCTTCTGCATAATCATCTACCTCCTCTTCATCTTGCCCAATAACTTTTGTTATATATAAATCAACTTCTTTCAATCTTCTTGTTTCGGGTCCTGACTTTCTGATCGCATGTAGAAATTTTGAGTATGCAACTAAATCCTTGTAATCGGCAATTTCAACATCCTCGCCATTCATTAAATCTATTAACCCTTTTGTTAATGTAAATATACAGCCTTTTGTGTCGATTTTGAATTGTGGTGAATTTCCACTAAATCTTATTCTAAATCCATTAAACAATAACCCCTCATCATTAATGATTGGTGAAATACTCTTTGGTAAATCTGGGTCAGGGTTTGAAAAAAGACGTTTTATATCATCTAATGTCTTAATACCCCCATATTCAATCGGTTTGGGATGAGGTCCTATACGAGGTCTATATTCTAATTTCTTTTTGATATCCTCTTGAGTCTCTAAGATTGGTTGAAAGAGAGTCTATAGATTTTACGTTAATCCGAGTTGTTGTAATCTGTTATTTTCAACTTGGGTCTTTAATTTATTCTTGGCCTCGATGTATTTTTTGTTCCTTTTCAAAACACTATTCCAATCCGTCATTTTCAAAAAAATAAAATTAACATATGTCGATCATAACTCTTTTTCCCACAGGTTTACTAGTATTAACAAATACATATCCGTGATCATCCGGGTTTCTCCATTGAGCTTTACAAACCTTTTTAAACGTGTTTCTGTCCATTCCGTGATTTATAGTCTGGATGATTTGAGATAAATCTTTGTCGTTTAATTCGAATAATAAAAAACACTTTGCGTTCTTTCTGATAAACATGGCGTCCATTCCGTAGAAAGATTGGGATTGGTATATGCAGTGACAGTTGTGATGTCTTCCTTTCGTGAAGAATTCTTGTTGAACGGTTTTACTTTTTTGTGCCACGCAGTCGTCAAAGACAATACAGTTCTTTCGGTGGTTGTCGTTTTTAGACAAGTTTAAATCGTTGACGTTTTTAGTCAGAAACACTTTATCTTCGGTCGGTTTCAGAGAAGGATTCTTTTCTTTGATAAAGCCGTCTAAAATGTCTTTTATTTCCGCCTTCTCTTGCAAGTCTTCGTTGCTTTCGTAGTAGTGAAAAATGTCTTGAACGTCTTCTTTCGAGACGTATTCCAAAGCTTTGAGAAACTGATAATAGGATTGTTCGGGAGTAGTCGTGTAAATACACAGAGACTCGAAATCTGAAATGTTCGGTGTTGTCAACATGTTAAAAGTGAGGTAAGTCTTTCCACAACCCGAAGATCCGCAAATGCACATGAGCATGGGGTTGCTAGGAAATATGTCCGAATGTTTGAATTTCTTGTCCATTTTTATTTATTACATTTTCGTACCAAAAATTACCCCGTTGCCTTTATACTTTGAAAGAATGATTCACTCGCCCGAACGTATGTTTTTAAAAAATATGGTGTTTCCCTTGTGCTTTATTTCTTCGGTGTCGATATTATCTATTAATTTGCTTAATCCCTCTTTAACGGTTTTCTTGGTTTCTTCGCCAAATCTTTGTCCGAATTCTTAACCGTCCCTAATATATCCCCTACTCCCGAACCTCCTCGTGTTACTCTTTCCATTGCCAAATTGTGTCTACATGCTTCGGCGTTTGCAACGGCGTCAGCTTTCTTATTGTTGACAGCTTTGGCTATCCCAGCGGCCCCATCAGCATTGTATTTATCGATAATCATTTGGGTTATATGCACTTTTTTTACCTTTGTAAGTTATTAGAGTTGGCGAATTCGTTTCGAAAGCTTCTATTATTTTCATAACTAAAGTTTATTCAATTCCTATCATTTTAATCAAATGTTTTGCTTCTTCCAGCAATAAACAGTAACCGGTTACTTCTCCTTGTGTTTTATCGATGTGAATATTTATGTTTACACCAGTTTTGAAAAGATCTTATTGATTAGCTGACAGATCGAAACAAAAGATTGGATGATTGAGTGAAAAATCTGTGTATTCAAACTGAGGAGTATTTCCAAACAATTCGCACATGTTTTTATAGTTTCTGTACAATTCGTTGTAATCTTTTGGAATTATCAATTGTCAAAGGTTGATTGGGATAATTATCGTTGTTCAATCTGACTTGAACTTTGCGAATGATGGGATCTTGCGTATGGTTCAATGACACTCTGAAAATGTTGTTGTTGTTTGTCTGGTAAGTTTTTGAAACCGACAATTAGATATCTCGCTGGCTTGGCGGTGTTGGTGATTGGCCACGTGGTGGATTCTCCCGTTAAAGTCATGCTACCTACCTTGTTACGACGAAGAAAAGCAATTTCGATGTCTTTGGTCAAAGAGTTGAATATTCTCGTCTCCACTTCTATGGAAAGAGTGATTACCGGTATGTAAATTTGGATATTCGTTATTTCCAATTTTGCGTCACAGTTGTTGTTGTTTCTTCGTTTTTAAACTTGTAAACTTTTAAACAAGTACAATCGTGAATTACTTGGAGTTATCTCCCATATACTTACTTTCGTCTTTGTTTACAATATATAGACCGCATGGAAATTTCTTGCTATATGCCAGTACAGTGTAATTAATATACGACATCTAACATTTATTAGAACTTATTTGAAATAGACTACATCCTTCTTGCGTAATCTGTTATAAATTATGTTTCCGTTGGACACAGCAACGCGAATGCCACAGCGGCTCAGACCTACTTTGAATCATCAAAAACCTACCTTGAATTATTAGCCTACTGGTTGATACTTGCCTTATAAACAGACTTACATATTGATTTATTATACCTAGGCCTACCTGTACTATACTCACCCGATTTTGTGTGAAATATTTAACACAGTGGACTCTATTCAAAAAACAATTCTATGGAATGCCAAATTAACAATAACTTGTACAAAACATGTATTTATGATGTTCTTTTTATTTTTGTAGCTTTTTACCATAATGTTTGAGGATTAAAGTATTTAACTCAACTGGT